TTGACTTATTCTCCTTAAGAACAACATGGGAATTTTAAATAACAGATTTTTGGAATTTTCTTCTCAACTATTAAGCGCATAACAACGCTTCAACATACTAATTGGTCTTCTCAAGCTTTACCAAATGGTTCAGCAATAAATTGCAAAACGTGGTTTTGTAAGGGCCAAAAATGGGGAAAATATCGTACATTTTCGTACAGTTTTCGTACCATAATGTTTTCTCTTAGTTTCCCCGCGGTCCGACACCGATACAATAACCGGTAGTTTGTCCGGTTCAAACAATTTAACCTGGAGAGGAACTGGTTCTTCCTTCGGCCAAAAACGTGAACACCATCCTGACCACGTGAATGTTAATTTATGAGAGATTTTATCCTCATAATTGCAGAACATTCCTGATCTTATAGTGAGGTATCTTAGCGCTGTTATTTAAGTGAGGTGTTAAGTATTAGTTTGGACTGTCCAGGTATTTTGCGGTCCAAGGTTTAAGGAAGGGCATAGACGAAAATGAATTAACTTTTTGTTAGCTATAAGTGGGGTGTGGTCTATTCTGGGTTTTACTGTTAAAGTATAGAATCATGTCCCGGTTTTTGTACTCAGTTCTTTAAGTCAAATTATAGGTTTATCTAATCGATAAACACAAGGGTGCAGAATTTGCGTATTTTAATAGGGGTCCGAAACTCGATTCCGAGGCAAAAAGAACAATGGAATACCCTTATACTTTTCTAAGGTTGGTTTTTAGGTAAATAAAACTAAAGTACTAAGTTTTAGTAAATAAAATTTGTTGCTTGTAGATATACACCATCATGTGATTTACCTATTTCAATCAGTGACAATTATAAAACAGTAGCCCAAACCCCATTTTCAATAACTGTGCTTTCTCTTGTTTACAATCTGAAATATGACTGTGGTTAAACATTCAACCATGATCAGTTGTTAGATAACAATTCATATTTATACCGTTATAAAGAAAGTTTGTCAGCAACACTGGGTCTTTAAAAGTGAGCTCAAAAAATAATTAAAACGCAAGGGGGATGAAGCCCTCAAGGATTTTTTTTTTCATTGCCATTCACAGGCACGCAGGACCATATGCTTTAAATGACACATCAATAATAGAAATCGGTTTAAAGAAGGACAGCTAAAAAGGGATGTTACAGAGTAAACCTTTATTGTATTAAGTACCTATATAAATAGATAGATTAAATGCACATATAATCTATCAAAATGAAGAAAACACACAATGTAGGTAATCATGTTATTTTACTTGTTGGACACGTGCTGATAAATGTTATAAAATTGTATGTAGTGGTTCGAAATCGTGGCAATACCAAAGTGATGTTTTTAAATATTCAACTTGTTGCATTCTTAAAATTTAATTTCCATGCACTAGACCTAAATGCATTTACTGTAGCCTAAGTTTTTTTTATGTGATAGTTTCTGAGAAGCATACTTATAAAAACATATATGGCGGTTCAGATTAATCTTAGGAACAAGAAAGACATTTTTGAAGGTGGAACTACCTAGGTGGAATTTACCAAACCTTACTGTCTAAAAAAGGTCGAGGCCCATCACTAGGGATTTGGTAATTTCCTAGGTCGACTTGTTAGGAACCTACTAACAGCTGACAACATCCACTTCCGTTGTGGTATCCAAGGCGATTTCAAAGCCTGTTGTTGACATTGTTTTGTAGGTTTTGATATTATCCTCTGCTTTGTGTTGTATTACAGTAACTCTGACACATCCTGTAAGTTACACGAGGTTCAAGTGTGAAGGTTGTCTTCAAGGCCAGACAGTGTAGAATGTAAGGCAGAGTTAGGTGCCGTTCACAAGGCAAACTACTTGATTCGTCATCTTCTTTGTGAGGCAAAGTCAAGTTTTGTTCGACTAGTTCAAAAAGAGTTTTGTTGTACATACGTTCGGCTGACTCATAGGGGCAATACAACCTGCCCCTTGTGGTCAAAATTATGCTTCATCAAAGTATAACCATTGACTATTGGATTCTGAAGGTATAACTCAAAAACTCATTATTTATTTAGCCAGATTGACAATATACATGCAACTTTACTAAGACTAACTATTAACTAACTTGTTAGGTATACAATTAAAATTGAAATGAATAGGACTGTCCGTCAGCGAGAAATGTCTTTTGAAGCCTCCCGGGTCGGCCGTGTCTGATGTGTACTTGATTTGAAGAGGGAGAGCATTAAATATAATGGATTAATAGTTAGATATATATATATATATATCCCATAAAATAAGTGATCCAGAGGCTAAACATGTTAAAATGTGAATTTCAATTTGCCTGATTGGATTTTTTCTAAAATATTTCCTTAAACGTCCGATCTATCCTCATTAATATTTATTAAATAGACTAACTTTAGGATTAACGAGCATGGGTTTTTTGTTTTTTCTTTGAATAATCTGGTTTTTTCAGTGAAATGTTATTAATTAACATGCAACTAACATGAACATTTTTACCGTACAGTTTTAAGAATTTCCTCCGTAACCATTAAGCGTACAAGTGTGCTTACTAAATTGGGTTTTAAACCTCTACCAAATAATTTCAAAGGAAATTGTGAGATATTTTGTTTTGATGGTCAAAATGGACATAACACTTCCCATAAACCCTGTTCCCAAAGTCCAATCATGTAGGTATGCTGATTCTCGAACTCAATCGAATAAAGAGAGTTCGTTTGTACCAGGCTTCGTTAAAATCGGATGGATTTTAACAGAGTTCTCTTGCTTACCGTCCTATATATTTATATTTGAACGAACTTATGGCCTCTGTGGACATCAAACCGACAAAATGAAGCGGCCTCAAGTCTTACCATGAGACTTACGGTAATAGCTTATCAACTATTGGGAAATTCGCCAAAACAGATATCAGTATTTTTAGTTCGTCTATGTAGTTTCTTATCATTAGTGATATTATTATGTACGTTTACCATCTGCGTTTCTAAAGTAAGTTCAGTGAAGTCTCTTATTGGTGGTTGGCAAAACGACAAGGTGTGGAGGACTTTGAAGAGAAGAAATTCTTACTGACGAGGAAAAGAATCCCGTGTGTCCCCACGTGATGTGGACCAGTTTTACGATCCCAAGAGGTTTAATACTGGGACAACCTTGCTAAACGGTATGCAAAAAACGTACAGTCTGTCTCATAAGTAACAGCCGAAGTCTGGAAAATGGTTTTATGTGTCAACATAAAACAAAAATCAAAATAATATTTTTTTATGGCGCCCGTTAAAAAAAAAATCTGTCACAGTTCAATATTTTTTTTTGAAGACGAGTTATTATGCTTACTATTCAATTGGATACCGAATTTCATAAAGGTAGCTTTAATAGTTTTTTTAGATACGCGTTTATATTTTAAATAAAAACAAACAAAATGGTGGATATCCGTCTAACAAGGCATAGTATTATTTATTTTAGTATTATTTTTACCTATAAAACCATTTTCCGTAGTTTAGAAGGCATTTATTTTGCCAGATTTACATTATTTCAATAGCTAAGTCAGAATATGTATAAAAAATGCAGTTTATCTTATACACTAGAAAATAACTAGAAACGATAGCTATAAATTTTATGAATAAATTAACTCATGAACAAATCACACTATATGCCTATGACCAGTGACCACTGGACACTGCAGTAATATTTCTAGATACTAGTAAATTAAGAAAGTATATTTTTTTTTATAACAATATTTGACTCAAATTTTAGATGGTTTGGTAATGTCAATGCATTGGAAATCAGTATACCGTTATAATAAAAATGTTTTTTTAAGGGTGTTACATTTTTACGGTTAGATTAAGACTGTTTGGCAAAGAATATGGGTATGATCTGGAACTTGTAAAAATATAAATGTAATTTTTTTGAAAATAGAGGGTTTTATGAATGTGAGGGAGGGTGATGAGTGCATATGTTGTAAATGATGTACAACGACATTATGTATATAATGTTATACATCAACATGTATGCAGCATGAATACACGCCAACTGCGGCTGGCTAAATGCACGACGGCGCACCTACGAGGTTACAGTCTGTACGAGGTCACTCTGCTATGTTACAGTCTGATGAGGGATTGTGTCAGTTGGGCCAAACCACGCTAAACCTTCTTATGCCCTCCTCAGATATAGATCGATAATTAAAAAAACAGCTTTCTCTTTAATAGGCCTAAATCAAATTGTTCGAAAATATGATATCTAGAACCAACATAATGGTAATATGGTAACAAATATTTCATGGACGCAGCAAATTGTCCTACTTAGCTAGTATATATATATTCATGTCCACTGGCAGTGTTGACAAAATAATAACTCCCGTATTAGTTCTTCAATAATTTAGATAAAGTAAAATATAAAGCCAAAATTATATTTGAATGAGTTTGGAAACGCGGGTTTAAAATAGGTACTTTTCCCACCATTTCCCACTTTCTAAAAAATATTATCGTGGTCCAAAATATATGTTTACATCAAACCATATACAGCTAGTTATAAGTTACTTTTCCTTTTCCCTACTGGACCTCCGTAAAGGTAGCCGGTTACCTTTCTTTATATTGTTTTTGTTATTTTAGTTTCTGTTTTGCGTAAGTGATTTATGATTACTTTAATATGGAATATAAGTTACAGCCAGGAGCTTATGTAATAAAAGGTCAGTACCCAAATGGCTTTAAGTTTTTAGGTTCATTTCTGTTGTTTGAATTGGCAGAGCTAAGTTATCCTGTTATAATATGATAAGGGCATTCTATACCTACCTTAAATAATATGCTAATTTAAATATATCTTAATCCTGCTATAATTTAGATTTCCGTAATTATTTATTATACATTTGTTACTGTACGACACTCTACCGTATGGGATTTTGATTTTGCTTCTTGTCTGTGTGGGTCACCTATGTCACTTTTCCCCAGAGGGGAATGTTTTGATGTTTTGTTGACATCCAATGGAATGTAATGTCAAAGAAAAAGGAAGAGCAGACGGAGGAAGCGGAATTCCAGGGAAGGGTTAGTTTTAGGGTTTGGCTTGACGTTGACAAAAAATTTAGTGGTGACTCTAGTAGCAGCCATGCGTAAATTTTAAAGTTATTTTTACCTTAGTTTAGTTTATAATTTGACGTTTGGGTGACACAAATGATTTTTAAGGCAACGTTTTAAATTTATTATTCTATTGAGCTTTCACATCTAGGTCAATTCGACCTAACCATGGATTCAATAGAAAACAATTTGTGTTTGCTGTTAGATGGCCTGGCCCTTCAAGACAGTGAAGAATTGTGTGACTTTTCCCTTGCAGATCAGAATGAAGCTATAGGTAAGCAAGAAACAATTTGATAATCTGCATAGCTTACTAAGTTAAGGCTAGACCACTGTAAGGTTAATATAGGCCTTTGGGGCCTAACCTAGGCCTGATTTGGGGTACAGTTTCTTAACTGGGCTACGCTAATAACTTATCGATTGAAACTATCGATTCGATTAGTAAACCTTCGGCTGCACTTTACTAAATATCCGTCCTACACTCATTCAAATGAAAAACTTTGTCAAATAGATTTTTAACTATGTGATTAAAAATTAAGTTTTTGTTTCAACCCCAGTGGCATTTCTGCAATTTAAGTTAAAACAGAAACCCTTTTAAAGGAAAGCAATCTAAGCCTCTGAAATGTTTGTGGAATGCTGGGCATCCTGTCCCTCTTGAATTGAAGTCCAAAATGCTAACTAGGAAGCTAGAGCAACATGTCCCTTGAGTTGGACTTGTAATAGGCTACTGATAGGCTATGTGGACAATTTGGTAGGTAGGCCTTCAAGCTAATACTTCCTGAACTAGGGAATATGGTTTGTATACTAAGTATCAGCATCGACCGACAAAGTAGAAGACATTATCGTTGAAGAAGGGTCTCCATCGGACTCGTGCCTTGGCTGGTAATAGGAAAAACAGACCAAACCAGATTAGCTGCTAGTTCTAAAGCATGTTTTGTTAGCCTACTATACATACTTTAACAACCCCTTGGTATAAAAAGGTGTAAGTTAGGCCTATATTGTATTTAATAGTAAGTTACTGAACGTAATAAGCCTAAGTTTGTAGGCCTAATGAGACATTTATTTTTCAGCTGCTAAGGGGGTAACTCCCTCGACACCATCTGATTTTGTTCCTGTTGTTAAGAACACTGTGACATACATTGTCATGGCAGTACTTTTCAATGATGACGGAGAAATATTGATGATGCAAGAAGCCAAAAGCTCATGTGCAGGCCAGTGGTACCTCCCTGCCGGCAGAATGGAACCTGGAGAGGACATTGAGGTAAGATTGAACCCAAAAGTGCTAAAACCATTGTTAGATCTCAATCATATTTTAAAACATGAATATCCAAAAGCCAGCTGTTCTTTTAACCTCAATCTAAGTAGGCTAATCAGCCAAAGTTATTTTTTGAGTTTACAGGTTTCAATTAACTTATCCTTGCATTTGCCCGTCCAGGTAGTAAACCAAAGAGTTAGGCCTACTGATAAAATTTAGTGGTAGACACCATTACGTCAAAACAAATCGTTACCATATCTTATAGGTTTGTAGACTGTCACGCTAGTGACTGAGCCACGAAGTTACTATAGGATGTATTTAGGCCTACAGTAGATTCCCTCTTAGCCGGACACCTTTTAACCGGACGTCGGTTTAACCGGATTACAATCGGCAGAAATGACATCTCTTTAACCAGACAATTTTTATCAGCACATTGGTTTAACTGGACTAAGTTAGATCGACAGGAAGTGGGCGGTACCGGCTGAAACGACTGTTCTCGTGGGAAAGATTTGAGACCAGTGATCACGTGTCTAAATACAATGCTCTTCTAAATTTAATTAAAATATCACAGCAAAAGGCCCGTTTTAACGAGTTTTTGGGGACGTCGGTTCAACCGGCAAAACCGTTATCCGGATTGGCCTCGGTTCTGAGGAGTCCGGATAAGTGAGAGTCTACTGTATGTATATAGCCTACTTACTTATACCTATTAAATTAAAAATATTAGTGAACCCAAAAAAACTACTTAAAAATGCTACAAGCCTTTCTTTAAGTAGCCTACCGTACCTATTACCCAAAAGTAAAAAATAAAAATAAATAAGTACGGTAGGTATCTAAACATAAGTAATGACTATATCGCACACTAGGCCTATAGTGCCCTAGAACTTAAATCAGTTCCAAAAAGCAAGCTGTTCCCCAATTGAGTAACGTAGGGCCTAAATTGAGATTTGTTTCGCAGCTGCCTGTTTTATTAACCTGTTACAGTTTGCTTTTTTGACGGTAAAATTTTAATAATGTAGCCAGGCTAGATGTCAAATGTTTATTGGTCAATATGTGAACAATAAACAGAAAGAGACGCACCTAGATAGATAGATGGTAGAACAGGTAGATGTTGCTGCAAATTTTTACAGGGTCCTCTTAGAAACTCCAGTTTAGAACAATAATAATAATAATAATATCACGCACCATTAATTTTGAAGGTGTCTAAAAAAGTTTTATGTCTAACTTGCTAAGAGTTTTTGTAGCCTGTCAATATTTTTTTAGTCCTGTGACCTTACATTTTTAATACCCTTGGCCTTTTGACTATTACCAAACAAATGTGTCTCGGTAGGCTATGGCTACAAATTACTATTTGCTTTCTTAAGGGATAAGAATTTAAGACTTGCAATACAAATTTTTGTGTTGTGAACAGGAAGCTGTGAAAAGAGAAGTCCTTGAAGAGACTGGCCTGTACATGGAGCCTACCTCTCTCATCATGGTCCAGTGTGCCAGCAAAGCTTGGTTCAGGTTCATACTAGCTGGTCATGTCACTGGCGGCACACTGAAGACTCCTGGGCAAGCCGACTCTGAATCCCTACAGGTTAGTTTTGACTGGATTTGGTAATAACTAAGGCTATACATAATAGCATACATAAACTAAGGTTCAGGTATATCAATGAAGTACTTGCTGTTTAAAAAAAATTAAATTACCGTCATTCCTGATATTAATTTTAACTGGAGACATGAATTTCAAGGTGTACAAGGGAATAGTTTTAAGTCAAGCATTACAAGCAAGTCTTATGTGAGTGAACATTCACCCAGTAGTCAGGCGCAGTTGAATATATCCTGATTGGCTTTTCTTAAAGTTAACTTTGGACCATCAACCCAATCAGTTAAAATCTTATGTGGTATAAATTTGTTGGGGAGCTCTCACTAATCCAGCCAAACACCATAACTGGGTAAATTTTAGATTAATGCATGCCTATGAGACAAATGGGGAAACAGTAAAGATTGATTAATTAGAACCACGACAGGCAGAGTCATAAAAATTCCTTACAGCCACAGTTACAATGTCATTGCTTCCAAATCACAGCAAAACCAAAACCATGAATATCTATCTTTGGAGATTACAAAGACATTGTCATCGTATCCTGCGATCGCGGCAAAATTGTGAACATTTCTACGGATGCTTTCTGCGATTGCAAAAATATAGTGAGATTAAAAACTTGACTCTGCTCAACTTTCTAACTTTCTCAATCAGTTTAACTTTAAGGTTAAGCTCAGCTCAAATACCTAGCCACACCCCACCTTGGTGTATACATATACATATAGGGCCTACATGTTATGCGGTGTTGTAGGCCAAGTGGGTAAAGGACCCAGAGCAGATGAGTCTGAGATGCAAGGACATCTTGTCAGTGGTGGAGAGAGGACATCAGTTCAGACTGAGACAGGAGCCCCAACACCCTAGCATGTTGCCTGCAGTGCGACCACATCACAAGCTGTTGCTGATAGACTATGTTGTGTGTTGTAGGCCAAGTGGGTGAAGGACCCAGAGCAGATGAGTCTGAGATGCAAGGACATCTTGTCAGTGGTGGAGAGAGGACATCAGTTCAGACTGAGACAAGAGCCCCAACACCCAAGCATGTTGCCTGCAGTGCGACCACATCACAAGCTGTTGCTGATAGACTATGTTGTGTGTTGTAGGCCAAGTGGGTGAAGGACCCAGAGCAGATGAGTCTGAGATGCAAGGACATCTTGTCAGTGGTGGAGAGAGGACATCAGTTCAGACTGAGACAAGAGCCCCAACACCCTAGCATGTTGCCTGCAGTGCGACCACATCACAAGCTGTTGCTGATAGACTATGTTGTGTGTTGTAGGCCAAGTGGGTGAAGGACCCAGAGCAGATGAGTCTGAGATGCAAGGACATCTTGTCAGTGGTGGAGAGAGGACATCAGTTCAGACTGAGACAAGAGCCCCAACACCCTAGCATGTTGCCTGCAGTGCGACCACATCACAAGCTGTTGCTGATAGACTATGTTGTGTGTTGTAGGCCAAGTGGGTGAAGGACCCAGAGCAGATGAGTCTGAGATGCAAGGACATCTTGTCAGTGGTGGAGAGAGGACATCAGTTCAGACTGAGACAAGAGCCCCAACACCCTAGCATGTTGCCTGCAGTGCGACCACATCACAAGCTGTTGCTGATAGACTATGTTGTGTGTTGTAGGCCAAGTGGGTGAAGGACCCAGAGCAGATGAGTCTGAGATGCAAGGACATCTTGTCAGTGGTGGAGAGAGGACATCAGTTCAGACTGAGACAAGAGCCCCAACACCCTAGCATGTTGCCTGCAGTGCGACCACATCACAAGCTGTTGCTGATAGACTATGTTGTGTGTTGTAGGCCAAGTGGGTGAAGGACCCAGAGCAGATGAGTCTGAGATGCAAGGACATCTTGTCAGTGGTGGAGAGAGGACATCAGTTCAGACTGAGACAGGAGCCCCAACACCCTAGCATGTTGCCTGCAGTGCGACCACATCACAAGCTGTTGCTGATAGACTATGTTGTGTGTTGTAGGCCAAGTGGGTGAAGGACCCAGAGCAGATGAGTCTGAGATGCAAGGACATCTTGTCAGTGGTGGAGAGAGGACATCAGTTCAGACTGAGACAGGAGCCCCAACACCCTAGCATGTTGCCTGCAGTGCGACCACATCACAAGCTGTTGCTGATAGACTATGTTGTGTGTTGTAGGCCAAGTGGGTGAAGGACCCAGAGCAGATGAGTCTGAGATGCAAGGACATCTTGTCAGTGGTGGAGAGAGGACATCAGTTCAGACTGAGACAAGAGCCCCAACACCCAAGCATGTTGCCTGCAGTGCGACCACATCACAAGCTGTTGCTGATAGACTATGTTGTGTGTTGTAGGCCAAGTGGGTGAAGGACCCAGAGCAGATGAGTCTGAGATGCAAGGACATCTTGTCAGTGGTGGAGAGAGGACATCAGTTCAGACTGAGACAGGAGCCCCAACACCCTAGCATGTTGCCTGCAGTGCGACCACATCACAAGCTGTTGCTGATAGACTATGTTGTGTGTTGTAGGCCAAGTGGGTGAAGGACCCAGAGCAGATGAGTCTGAGATGCAAGGACATCTTGTCAGTGGTGGAGAGAGGACATCAGTTCAGACTGAGACAGGAGCCCCAACACCCTAGCATGTTGCCTGCAGTGCGACCACATCACAAGCTGTTGCTGATAGACTATGTTGTGTGTTGTAGGCCAAGTGGGTGAAGGACCCAGAGCAGATGAGTCTGAGATGCAAGGACATCTTGTCAGTGGTGGAGAGAGGACATCAGTTCAGACTGAGACAGGAGCCCCAACACCCTAGCATGTTGCCTGCAGTGCGGCCACATCACAAGCTGTTGCTGATAGACTATGTTGTGTGTTGTAGGCCAAGTGGGTGAAGGACCCAGAGCAGATGAGTCTGAGATGCAAGGACATCTTGTCAGTGGTGGAGAGAGGACATCAGTTCAGACTGAGACAAGAGCCCCAACACCCTAGCATGTTGCCTGCAGTGCGACCACATCATAAGCTGTTGTTGAGATTCGTTATCCTCGCCAGACAGAAGAGCAGGTAAAATTAATGTTGTGTAGCTTCAATTTAAAGAATTTTGATACAGTTCTCCTTGTAGGCCTAAGAAGCTAGTTTAATTAAGCCCATTGAAATTTATTGATTAAAAATATATTAATTAAAGATGCTTTTGAACGTTTGCACGGTGTATGCCAGCTATGCGGTGTTCATTAGCGTTGTTTAAGAATTTAACCAAAGTTAGGGATATTTTGAAAGTTACACGGTGTTACTGAACTAGATGTTCAGAATTGATAGGGTCTCCAAGGCAACTAAGGACAACAGTTAGCCGGGCTCGACTGATGTGCCAGTCAGCAAGCAAGGTTTCTTCAACTTAAATCTGTTGTGATGGAAACTGATGGACATCCACTGCCTGGTTGTGCACCCTTCTCCAAACTACCTAAGAAAATTACGGTAAATATTTTCCCCCCGAAACAGTTATTCTTCTTATGTATTACGTATCCATTTACTGCCTATAGATAATAGGACTAACCTTACCCCCATATCACGGAAACCTAATCACGAAACGTGATTCATATTTGGCTGGTGCTTCAATTTGCCCTCACTTTGCCTTTGGCTACTATCACAAGTCTACTCGTCACAAAGGGGTGGGAATAAAAAAAATTCCCACTTCCTGTTAAACTGATAAAGCAAACTGCCAACGTTGTTTTTGGACCTTTAAGTCAGATAATAAACCAGTCTTTTGAAAGTGGAATTTTTCCTTATCAGTTAAAATATGCTGATGTGAAACCGCTTCATAAAAATGGCAGTAAATCAAACTCAGATAACTATCGCCCAATTTCCATCTTACCGCTTTCAAAGAACTATTATTTTTAAAGATAATATCTATAACTTTTCAAAATGGAAAATGATCTATTGTGGTGTACCTCAGGGCTCTATATTGGGACCCTTGTTGTTTTTAATCTATATTAACGACCTGCCTTTTAACATAAACTCAAAGCTTGTTCTATACGCAGATGACACAACAGCTATATTAAAATCAAACAGCCCTAACAATTTACAAAATTTGATAAACCAAACTTTTGAAGATTTAAACAAATGGTTCAGAGCAAATGGTCTGAGTCTAAATTGTTCTAAAACTCAAATTGTCAGGTTCAAAACTACTCATGACAGAGAAACCATCGAATTAAATATAAATTTTCAAGGAGAAATTATTAATGAAACGTCATCTACAAAATTTTTAGGTATTCAGGTACAAAACACTTTAAATTGGGATAAATACACATCAGTTTTAGCTAATAAACTAAATACAGTCTGTTTCCAGATGTCTGTCCTGCAGCATGTTACTGACCTCAGAACAAGGATGATTGTTTATTATGCTTTGTTTGTGTCAAACATGTTGTATGGAATAGAGTTCTGGGGCAGCTACTCAAATGCCGAAACCATTTTCAAAATTCAAAAAAAGATCCTTAGAATTATGACATTTTCAAAGCCTAGGCAATCCTGTAAATTATTATTTAGAGAATTGAAAATATTAACACTTCCGTCTGTTTATATCCTGCAAACATTAATATTTATTTAAAAAAATCTTGAATATTTTATGAATGAAAACCATAACCATAATTATTTAACACGACATCGAAATGATTTACAACTGCCCATTCATAGACTTACCTCACTAGAAACCCTTCCACAATACCTAGGGAAAAAACTGTATAATAAACTTCCTGATAATATTAAATCATTAGAATCTTTTGAAAAATACAAAAAAGAAGTTACCAAATTGCTGCTTAATAAAGGGTATTACAAAGTTGATGATTTTTTTAATGATGTATATTTGATTTCTTAGCATATTGTATAGTTATTATAGTTTTATGTATTTTAATTGTCCATGACCATTTCACCTGTTTCCCAGCTATGCTGGATCTGTAAAACGTTATGTGAAAATAAATGATTGACTTGACTTGACTTGACTTGAATAAACAACTAGAATAGTAGAGGATGAAGACAAAAACTCGGTGCCAATATCAGATTTAACTATCTCGCTTTGCCATGGTGGTAACTCGTTGGATACCCAGACACATAACCCAGATAGGGTTGTCTGTCGTTGGTAACTTACAGACAGACAACCATAGTAGAAATGATCAATAGTTTATAATATGATATCTAAAACATAACTTCTAAACTAGAGTTCTGTATACTGGTCTACTCAATTGCAATATTGGTAAGTGTTACTCCTAAATTTATCATATTTACCGGTGCATTCAATCTTTATTGAAAGGCTGTTTACTTTTCTTATGTTTTTAGCAACCGAGTACACATATTGCTGTCAGAGAAGACTGAAGTGCACTTGCCAATTTGTGAGGTCAATCATCATCACAATTTACATTCAACCATCCGAAAGTTCATGGTGGTGAGTTAGCTGATACTTTTAGAGTAAACTATCATTTTGTCATTTTCAGTACTAGTAATGAAATAAATTTTTCATCGCCATATCATTATTGTGGTTTAAATTGGTAAACAATAGTTAAATAATAACATATTTTAACAAATTTTATATTTCATAAGATTTTATATTGCTTGCTTCAGTAAAAAAAATTGTAGCCAGATGTAGGACAAAGTTTCTTCCATTAATGTTTCTGAAGTAGCTTAGGCTTACACATTTTAACGAAAAACATCATTCCAAACAATTTAAGAATAAGTTTTTGCTAAAAGTAGTGTCCCACTCATACATTGTTTGATTGTTGTCCGCAGGAGATCTTTGGTGCAGACGTGCCTCCTCACAAGCCCCATGGTGTGCTGAGTGTAGAACACTGTGGTAAGCCCGAGGGTGCTCATGACGGCCTCCTCATGACCATTCTGATAGCCTTCCGGGTGCCTCTAGAACAGGTCTGTACTCGTACTGGTATCTTGTAGTGATGTGATGTAGTCATTGTAGAGTTTTACGGCAACACCCATGTGCGTAACTTGCTGTCTCCGTGACTTCGGTAATCGTCTCCCACGACTGCGTCAGTAGTGGTAAGCATAACTTGCAGTCTCTGCGACTTCGGTAATTGTCTCCCGCAACAGCGACAACATCTGTGAGCGTAACTTGCAGTCTCCACAACATCGTTAATCGTCTCCCGCAACTGCGGCAACACCCATGAGCGTAGCCTGCAGTTTCCGTGACTTTGGTAATCGTCTCGCACGAGGGCGGCAATACCTGTTATCGGCACCTTTTAATAAACAGTGCTAACATCCACCATTGGTAGTAAAAGTGGCTTGTCTTCAATCGCCATGAATAGCGAGTAGCGACTCTGCCGTATTACAATACTGTTGAGGTTAGACGTTTGACTCGTGTGTGGGACGAAAATTAAGTTTTTCTACCCTGAAAAAGTGGGATGTTTTTGGGATTTGTGAAATGTTAAACTTGATCTCCAGGTTGATGTAATATGTGTGTGTGTGTGTTAACTGTATATGACGAGTTCTGTATTTCACCGGACAATTAAAGGTGAGTAAAGCCCACAAAATTGTCACAAGTTAATAAATACCTCGCCTACAGAAATGCCATTAAAAAAATAACAATAGGCCCTACAATATAAACAAATTCTACTTTGGTTAAAATTTTTAAACTTATTTATTTCCAAGCAACTAACTGACGTTAAAGCATATTTTGATAATTTTTATGATTTAACACATGGCTTTAAAAAAATATCCTTAAACTTAAAGAAATGAGTAATTTTGTACAGGGAAAGTTAAAAACGCATGGCCAAGCCAGAGTAAAATAAAAAATGTAAATTACAATCTGTTCTAACGCAATGGAATTTCTTCTTAATCAATATTAGCTTATTTAATTATACTGTTTTGGTAGTGGTTGTTAAAAGGTCAACAGTCGTTTACGTTACTTCTAGAATAAGCCATCCGATTTGATCGAAACAACCACACATAGACTTGTGTAGTTCATTTCATAAAAGTACTATGTTTGGCTCCTATAATTTTGCTCAGGAAACAACATCTAGTTTAATTAACTCACCACTATAAGTTTAAATTTTTGTGGATTGTCTCAGCAATATTCTCTACAGTGTCAAACAATATACTTTTACTAATTTCTTAGAGTTTCTGAAATTTTTGGGAGTAATATGCAAAGTGTGAATTTGTTTATTAATTTTGACTGGTAACCAATCAACAACCACAATTGACAACTTTGGCTTGTCCTGCAGTTCGGCTGGAGCCATAATCGTTAATCATATTTGTCAAAGGGAAAAAAATCCATCTTGCAATTTCTTTTAATAGCATACAAAGAAAGAACACAACATGAAACAACCTTTAAAAAAATTAATCAACATAAATGTGCAGTCCTAGACCCTCGATGCCAAAAACTATGTTTAGATTTTCATAAAAAGTGTACCGTGTTTTTGTGTTGTGTTTTCTTTGTCTGTGAATAGGTCGTACGTTTTATCATTGTCCCCCTCCCTTCTAAATTCACTGAAATTTACATTGATCAATGAAGAACTTAGAAGCGAAATGCTTATGGAGAATAGTCAGATCCGAATTTTACTGCCGAAATGAGCTTCGTGCGGCAGCAGCTGGGATGTGATCGCGCGGTGACCACTCTGCTTTATCTCTCTCTCTCTTTCTAAGCTGATTCTTTGTCTCACTCAGTCAGTTGACTTGGCCGTATGTGGTTGCAATTTAGCCCCTTTGCTACTTAGTGGCCGCCGTGGGAACTAGTATATCCGGGATTCAAATATTCCCAGACTGAATTTTTAACATAGGCGTTGCTAAGGTTTGTAATTTGTATTCATTGCTTTGGTCAGCTGATAAGACACCCTGAATCGCAAGATGTATTATTTTGAGGCCCTGTCATATATTATGATGGAATCCAAAACATGGATCATCCAATGATGAGTTAGAGCTGTCACGGAATCATTTGGTATGGTACCATATTTTATTTTTTAATAGTTCAATACAATCTGTTCTCCACAGTCCTTTTCTCCACCTGGCAAATGTTTGATCAGCTGTTTGAGTTGTGTCGTCTGTTCCAGGTGTTTCCCATAGACAAGTATACCTGGCTGATGGTAGGTGGTGGTTTGGGAGATAAACTCATTCAGCGTGTACCTCGTAACATGACTGTACCACTGCACGTCATCTCCTAGTGGACTGTACACTCTACAAGTAAATATTAACCTGGTACTATCACAATGCAAAGAACTGAAGAGGGCTAGGACTCCAAATCACAGACAAATTTTATTTGATTTGTTTAGTAGATAGATATTGACTGAATGTTTACTTATAAATTACGGTAAGATTGTCAAAATTTTCTATTTTTTTATTTGATTATAAAACTTTATGTTATTACAGTTGAAACAAACATTTAACTTTTGAATATAGTTGCCGATAAAATTATTTAGATTTTTTTTATCCGTGTAGAATTTCTTATCCATTTTTATACTTGACCGCTGAACTTGACTATCCTGATAGTGAATTTCCCATAGGGAAAGGGAATAAGCTACATTTCATCTGAATTTTCATCTTAAAATTGAAAGTACATTAATATGACATTAAATTTTGTCAGGACATATGAACAATTTACATTGAAGGTTGATGAGTGTTATGGATGATTCAATTTTATCCAAGCATCTAGTGAAAAAGAAACTAGGGTGAAATGAAGGTTTTGTCTGAGGTACCACCAAATATAAATATTGATAGGTTATAGAGTTTTTGCAAGCAAATTCAATAAATACTTAACAAATTCAATTGTCTTGGCTGTTATGCTCAAGTTTAACATAATTATAGCTTATGTAGTTTTAAATGTATTTAAAAGTGCCTGATTAATATTTATTGCATTGTTGAAAATGTTTTAAGATTTTAATGAGCTTGAATGGCTGAACATAATTCTATTTTGTTATTTTAATCTCAATGTAATGAAGTACTTGTAGAAAAAAATGTATTTATGAGCTTAAATAACATTTAATTTTAATTTTGCCTAAAGGATGTTTCTAATGGGAAATACAACAAATTAGTTTTACAATCTATACAGGTACTCTTTTTGATACTTGAATAAAGAGAGTGAGAATTAAAAAAAATTAACAGTTGTACAAAATAGATATATTCATATATGGTTTTATCTTTACTTCTTCTATGTGCTGTGTATATTTATTTTATACTATTTTAATTTTGAATGATGTTTTATATTGTTTATAATCAAATATATTTATTTTATATTTCAGTTATTTTAAACATTACTACTTGTTGTAATAATATCCTTTATTTCTTTTGTATGGTGATGGAGACTGAATTTGTACTTAACTATTGCCATTACATTCATGTAGATAAAAGTAATGTTGGCCCTTGCCTCTTTAGAGGAATTTTACAAATTTTAAATCCACCGTCAATACATTATTTTTGTATGTTATAATACTATTTAAATGTTACTAATTGTTTATGACCTTGATTGTGCTTATACATCATCATCCATTTGTTCATCACATGTTAGCAATGTTATTGCTTTTTCCGTTACCGTAAGGTTTATGAATTTGATGAGAGTTATTTATTGTTGTTGATTGATTTCTAACAGAGAAAAAACATCTCTAACCGAATTTTATTACAGTGATGCTGGCAAATTGTATCTATATAATTTATTTTAAGGATGGTTATCAAATTTTATATATTGTTTATTTTTGTTAATAAAATGATTATACACAATTGTTGTAGATTTTGTAATCCTTGAATATTTTTGAGTTGATTTAGTTTTATCATACTGCACCTTTTTGTAAGCTCTCTCAATCATAAAAGAATATTTTTTTTTGTTTTATATCTTTACAGTTGGCCTATCACACAAAACTGCATCCAGCTTGTTCGGCTAAGTAATCAAACAGCTGTTTACCAATGTACAGTATTCAACTATTTGTGGCCATTTTTTTTTATGAAACCTAGATGATTTTACTATATATAAGCACATAAAAGCAGCATTTCAATTTACTGTAATATTTTTACATTCCACTTGGTTTATATATACTGAAAAAGGTATAGACATAAAAAAGGTACTCAAAAAGGTACACAAAAAAGGTATAGAGTGCATCGTAGTAAACTCAATGATGATGAAAATTTAATTCAAATGACAATATATTGGTTGGAACTGATTTCTTAGTAAAAATCGGCGGACCATGTTAGAATAGGGGAACATACAGCAAATGTCACCCTTCAGTTTATTCCTTTCCAATTTCCATCCTAGAAATTCATTTTCAACTACATCAGCTATACTGTACTACCAATGTTTTACAATTACTTTTGCTGTAGTATGAGAAATAAAATATTTTGGCCTTTTTAGTGTTTAGGTGGGAGGAGCATATAGATATTTTAAATTATTTAAGTAATTTAAAATAATATTTATTTTATGAGATGAAATATTTTGAAGTATAAATGACAGAAAGAGACCATTGAAACGTAAGAAGAGGTGGCAGAAGACTTTTAAACCCTTTGAGGTCTAATTTTTTTTTCTTTTTTCTGCGAGTATAGGTTGTCATTTTCGAGCAGTCGGGGAAATGGCTGGCGGCGACCTATACTCCCCATACTTGCCATTTGACCGCAAAGGGCTACCACACTAGCAAATCTAATTCAAATAGATTTTTTGCAAAAGAGGATTTTAGAAAAGAAAACATGATTAGAGTAGCCTATGCTACTTTTTGTATAGGACCCAGGGACCAAGCCATGGCTCGGTATGGAAACTTGTGTTATCTTTATAAATAATTTCGGCTTTTACTATTTAAGTTTCAGTGGAATTTCAGTGTATAATGATGGAAATGCCAACTTTGCAATCCAACACAATAATTGATTTAATATTACTCATTTCTTAATTTGTAAATAAATAAAACAAATTATTATACAACTAAAGAATGTCCTCAAAGAAATACTGTAAAAATAATTTATTAGCCAGATTTCCTTTTACAATTTTTGCTATGCCACTTGATATTCAGGCATTTCAACTTTTATCTCATTTTCTAGTTGAGCAGTTACATCAAAATTGGACGATTCCATATTTTCCTTATCAGATGACTGGACCTCTTTGCTTCTATATGCACAAATTGATATACATGGATTAGAATGTTTTCCCTCCATTTTATGTAGTTCCCCGGCTTTTTGAAGGGGTGCCTCCTTATCTTTGAGCCAGTTTTTCTGCGCCTCCAAGATACATTCTGAGGTGCAGAGTCTCACCCAAGCCACTGCCTCTTCTGCTGATAGTCCGAAGTGTTTGACTAAATAAGCTCCTGCCAGACACCCGGCTCTGCCCAAATATTCACGGCAGTGGATCAGGACGACACCTTCGCACTCTTCAGTTAGCTCAAGGAAGGCTTCCAAAACCTGGAGGACAAAATATAGCCACAGAGTATATTTGCCAAAATATTATATGTTTAAACACATTTCAACATAAGTTTTTAACTACTGACTTTTGGATTTGATTTGACTATAGTGAGTGGAATATATTTAATCCACTTTGATTTGTGTATTTGACTATAAAGAGTAGAGACATTTCATCCTCTTTGACTTGTGGATTTGACTAGTGTGAGTATAGAAGCATGCCCTTTGACTATAGTGAGTAGAAGATATTTCATCCCCTTTGACTTTTAATGTGTTATGGTCCTTATAATTCTAAAAACATAGTGCCCCCATTACTGCAACAATTAGGGTTCAAAAGCTATTACAAATTTTGTGATTTTTGCCTAAAATATCATAGTTACTCCCACCACTTACCCATGATAAAAGTTGTTGACAAGCTTGTGGGAGAAAGTATGCGTCAGAATGCTGATACTGTTTAGGCTATTTTTATTTGTGGCATAAAAGATGCTATAAATGAACAATTAATCAATTGTACCTCGATCGAGTCCAGCTCAGCTTGCTTGAAAAGTTGGTGCAACATTATAGTACTGTTGCTGGCTCGATTAATTTAGCCTACTTTCATTTTCATTCTAAAAAGGCTACAAACTTAAATTATGGGGAACGGTATGTCTACAAGCCTCCATAGGCAAATCTATAATAATATCGACATAGTGATTACATATCTACATCCAAAAATGTCTACAATCTCTTTGTTGATGGATAGCTTTCATCATTAGACATTGAGAATCTCTAATAACGAACAAACATATTTTAGATCCCAAAGAAGTTTGATATGTCTATTAAATCAATCAACAAATCAAAATTATGAAAATTAAACTTTTGAGAATGATAACTGTGCCTTGAGAAATAATGAAGGTGCAATAGTTGGTTTTAGTAGGGGGGTTGTGCTGTCTTTTTTGGTTCAGCTAGCTTTTTAATATTTGTTTATAACCATACTTTCTGCGAAAATTGCCAAAATAATTTTTTCAGTTTACCTTATAAATTTAACTCACAAATATTGCATATAATTTAAAATTTTACACTGTAGCTACTCTTAATGGACTGGGGGAGTGAGCTGGCGTAGTGGCGTAGTGGTTAGAGAGCGGGACTTCAGTCCCTGAGGTCCCGGGTTCGATTCCCGCCTAGTCACCAATGGAATTGATCTAAGTGATAATGCCACAACCCCTAGGTAACCCCTGAAGTAATGAGAAAAACAATCCCAGGCTCGTGCCTAGCATCCCATGACAAAAAAAAAGAAGAAAAAAACTATAACTGGACTATAGACCAATGATATCCAAGTGTCTAACCTCATCTGTCGGAATGGAACCTGCAATGTTGATGTCATAGTGTGGATAATCAGCTCCAACAAATGGATTGGCGTCATACTTGACATGGCAGATCCTGATGATCGTCTGCACCTCCATGTAGCGGAATATCTTGATGTAACGACGAGGAGACAAGTATCTCTCATTGGAGGCATCCAATGGTCCATTGAACATCAACAATTTGTTTGGGACAATCCAGTTAAGTTTGACATCATCCATGTTGTAAAAGTCTTCAGCATTAAAACTATAAAAGTTGATGAATCCAAACGAGATTGCCTTTTCCATGGCTTTCAGAAAGTCTATCGGACTGGGTAATGAATGCGTGGAAAGTTTGTCAGCAACCTGTTCTGGACTCATTTGGAGACGTGTCATAGCATAAGCTCCAATCAAAACTGCACCGTTTCGTCTTTTTCTTTCACTACCTGAAGTGTAGTTCACGATAATTTTTTCCTTGTATTTTTCCTGGGTCAGTTTTTTGTTTAACACATTAAAGAATTTGAAGATTGTTCCTAGGCTTACCCGGCTTACAATTTCAGATTCTTCATCTCCAGTAAAATCGTCATTGGTGGTAAAACAATGCAAATTCTTTGTCCCTTCTGGAATTTTGTTTTGGTAGTAAGTAATGAAATACAACCTGTTTTTTATGAATTCTGAAACCCCTAGGATGTCTGGGTCCGTAAGATCTTTTGGTAGAAAACTAGTCATTTTGGGGGAAAAATTAAAAGTAACAACAAATTTTTGTTTTGAGATACTTTATTTGTTCAGCTGTTGAGCAAAAATTCAGTTCAGAAGCTAAAGTTCCATCTTACACTGCCTTAAGAATTTAATTTATGCATGGAGTAAATGTTAAACTCATTGCTATACAAAGTGAATTTGTGCACAGCTTGATTAAAAACTCCTATCTGTACATTACATGTTTTATATATTCTTTATGGTTTATTTATTTTTTCACATGTGATAAATAGCCCTGAATCTTCTTTATTTTTTAATAATTTTATCCTTTGTTGATCAGAATATTTTGTTTACTTATGAAACAGTTTGTACACACGTCTCCAAGTATGTAGTGTGTTATATTGTTGGTGAATCAGAAGCCTACATTCATTAAGTCTTTTATTATTCTTTTAATAAACACCTTCAAGCCTTGTAAAGAAAACTTTTTTCACTCTACCTAAACTGGTTATTGATCAAATTAATTCAAACTGGTTGAATATATTTGCATCGATTTTAACTCATAATGATATGCTGCAGCTCATCTTTTGAGTATCGCTTGATTAAATGTTGGTGCCTTCGACTGAAATCTGTAATTGACATCAGCGCATTCTGTCGAGGCTCAAAAATTCAATTCAATATTTCTTTATTCATTAAAGCACAAAGTACATGAATAGTGTCATTCTCTTACATGTTTTCATATTACAATGCTCTGATATTCTATAGATACAAAGTTCTTAAAATCTAACATACGTTTATACATATTAAAAATTAACGCTCCATCTATAATTTTAAAGTTCATCAAGGGTTCAACTATAAAATTCAACTATAGATTCATTTTAATTCTGGCTTCAGGTTTGCCATGTGAATTGGATTGAATGTGTCAATGATAAAACATAAATAACCTCAAAAGGCAATGATAAAACCTTCAGTATCCAATAGCGTGGATAAATTATACTCCCTTAGCCAATCGTCAATAACAAAACAATAGCTCTTGGATTTGTCATCCTTTTCGATCACCTGAAGATAATTCCAAAAATACAAATTTTTTTTCAACAGTCACCTGACAAAGTGGGCTTCTTTTCATTCATTATAGTACAGAAAGTTGCAAATTGCTGCATTTACTTACTTTTGCCGCATTTACTTACTTTTGCCGCAATCTTTTTTTATTGTTGACAAAGCCAGTGTCCCAAACAAAAAACACAAAACAGACTGCTTTTATTATGCACGTAATCCGTGTACGATTGGAATAGGTTGTTAAGAGAAAGGAAGGATACACAACCAACTCACCTGAATAAAGAGTCCTAGGAGGTTAATAGAACACACAAAGTTACACATTATACTGATATTTCACTCTTTAATGGACTTCTTCAGAGGTAGAAGGTAGAATGGCAGTTACAGTTCTGGCAGAACTGTAACTCAGATGAGTTAGTTGTGTATCCTTCCTTTCTCCTTAACAATAATTCTAAAGCCAAGTTGCTTTTCTTCCTTTAAAAATACTTTGAAATAGGTTGGCTGCAGGGCCGGATTTAGCATTTTGGCGCCCCTAGGCCCAATATTTTTTTCCGCCCCCCTAATCTGATTAAAGTAGTCCTTTCCCTTCCTGAAAACCTCTATTAAACAATTTATTATATGATCATGCCTCTTAGCTAATTAAATACCTCTCCACAATGCATTTTTATCTGGGTTGAACAAAAGTCGTCTTAAAATGCACTTTAGAAAATTTATGAATTACTAGCTCACGTTTGTGTGGACTGAAAGAAAATCTAACCTACAGAGCATTGCCGCATCAAATAATCAATTGCCATCGCTGATGCTGAGTTCCACACGAAGCGGCTTCATATTTCAGGCACACAAACACTAACTCAGTACAATACTTGAACTCCATCTAGATTAAATTGAAATTCTTATAAGCAATATAATTCGGCTAAACATACCGATCCTTTAGGTATGAGGAGTGAATACGACAGAATTAAAATGACGTCGCAGAGGGTGGACTTATTGATTTTTTTCTGAAACCTGTAAACTCAGATAATTATTTTTGTTAACTATAAGGACGAACTTATAGTTGTTCTTTTTTACGTTCAACACAACATAGCTTACTGTATTTTTTAACTTTATACTACAGGTTGTAATTTATAAGATTTGTTAATAGCTTTGTTTATATATAATTTCGGGATTTGGGTTCATAAATAAAATATAAAAAAACCTTGAAATATAATGTATTACATAATGTCATTATGAAATAGGTTTTATCTCAGAAATTCAGTTTATATAAAATATTTTGATATCGTGACGCAACTAATGTGTTTTAAAGTAAAACTATTTTTTATGTAAAGTAGGCCTACAAATATTAAATTTGATAAAAATAACATTTTTCCGTTCAGTTACGGGATTGCCTAACTTAAATAATGCAAACAAGTATTGTATGTAAAATCTATAAATATAATGATAGAAATTAAAAATCGTACTTACGACATAAATTGAAATTAAGTAAAATGTGCAACTCCTATTAATATTAAACATCAAGTGGGTCACATAAAGTTTCTAAATAAGTTTACCCTAGTACTAAGCGCAAAAAGACATTTTTTACGAGATTGCCTTTGCCTATCTTAAATAAAGCAAACAAGCATTAAGTAAAATCCCTAAAAATAAATGATAGAAATAAAAATCGTATTTAACACATACATTGAAATTAAGGAAATTGTGCAACTCCTATTAATATTAAACATCAAGTGGGTCACATAAAGTTTCTAAATAAATTTACCCTAGTACTAAGCGCAAAAAGACATTTTTTACGAGATTGCCTTTGCCTATCTTAAATAAAGCAAACAAGCATTAAGTAAAATCCCTAAAAATAAATGATAGAAATAAAAATCGTATTTAACACATACATTGAAATTAAGGAAATTGTGCAACTCCTATTAATATTAAACACGAGTGACTCACATTTAAATTTCGTAATAAAGTTTACCCTAATATTAGCGCAAATATCAGAAGTAAATAGTTCACATTATTTTATTCATATAAGCACTCCTACACATTCTTCTTTTCCTTATAGGGCCTTTCTTCTTGCCTTTTGTCGGGCGAATGTATCAATGATATCATCATATTGAATATCCTGAGTCAGCCTCCCCTCAATGTTCAGCAGTGCTAGTGATGAGACTTTGTCGTGACCAGTTGTTGATCGTAGGTAATTCTTAACACGACGAAGAGTGGAGAAAGATCTTTCTCCCGTGCAGTTTGTAGCGGGAGCACATAAAACCATTCGAAGGGCAATATCGATGTTAGGGTAGATATCCAAAGCGTCAAAGTTACGTAAAAGCTTGATGATCTCAATCAGGGAGATACTCGTTTTGCTCTGGTCGGTGTTTTGCGCCAAAAATGGTTTTAAGTGTAAACACTCGTCTACCACGGCAGGCTCGAGATCTTCGGAGTACACACTCAATAATTCTCCCGATTTCTTTGTGATTTCAGAGGGGGTCAGTTGTTGCAATACCTCTAAAAATCCGAACCTTTTATGGAGCTCAGTATATTTGTCACCTCGTCGCTTAAGCTCTGAATGCAATGAATCCAAAATTACATTGACTGTATTCACGCGAAAGTTGTCAGATCCTGATAAAGATATTGCAGTGCTGGGTTCACCATATTCCCCAGCATGTTTTGACCTCTTTTTTTTACGTTGATTATCAGCCCTGTACTCTTTCTCGCCACATTTGCCCTTCGCTGTATTTTCAAGTTCTTCAAAATTATTTCTGACTTCTTGAAAAAACCCACAAAGAGAGTCATAGTACGTTATTATGTTTCCAAGTTCTGTCGTTTCGTACTGCAGCTTTTGGTTTACTTTGAAAATCTTTCAAAGATTTTACCCCATAGTATTGCCATGAATGTTGTTTCCAGAGAACTTAGCTTTTCTTTTCAGGAATTTGCTTCGTTCCTTGTTGAGGGTCTTTCGTCACTATCATTAGCAATTTGATGCAAACTGCAAATAATGCCTTCTCGATTTTCACCCACAACTCGACATGCGTCGTGGCGAGCAGACCATCGTGTCTTCGATAGACTTTGTAAATGTAAAGGACAATGCTCCTTTAGAATGGCCCACCTATGTGTCGAGGCGCTGAAGAAATTGTATATCTCCTGTAGCAGACCAAAAAAAGAAACTGCTTCCGTGCACGATTCAGCAGCACAAGACCCTACTAGGTTGAGAGAATGCGCCGCGCACGGTACATATTCCGCCAGAGGGTTTAGCTGTTTAATTCGAGCCTGAACGCCGGAATAAACCCCAGACATATTTGAAGCGTTGTCGTACGCCTGACCCCTGCGATTTGAAATGTCCAAATCAAACTTGTCAAATAATTCAAGGACTGCGGAAACAATTTGTTCAGCTTTATGTCCAACATTTGGTACAAAACAAATAAACCTTTCTATCGGCACACCATCTTTATTAACATATCTAACAACGAATGTTAGCTGATCGACATGTGAAATGTCCGGGGTTGAATCTAGTACAATACCAAAATACTTTGACTATAATAATGGTACAATACCTCGTCAATTGACGAGGTATTGTACCATTATTATAGTCATATAAAGTAATCCAGGGGCCATCAACATGGAACAAAATACTTTGCTTCGCTAACCTCTTTCATAATAGTGGATCTTACTTTTCCAGCCATAAGAGAAATAAATTCCTCGTAAGTCGTTTTAGAGAGATAAGACGTACTTCCCGAACCTTTGTCACCATATTTCGTTAAATGTTCTGCCATAAAAGGATCAAATTCCGCAAGAAACTGCAATAGTCCAAGAAAGTTTCCACTATCAAATTTACCTAAATGTTCATTAGTTCCACGTAATGCGAGTCCTTGTACTGTCAAGTACTTGACGGCCGCTACAACTCGTTTGAGAACTTCCCGCCAATAATGCATTTCGCGTTCAAGTTCTTCAATAAGTTGGACATTTACACTACCTTTCGCATTGCATCTAAGTTTAAGTTTTGTCATACTATTTCTATGGTACGCACTGTTCTCATGCTCGTCAACGCGGCGATTTGC